CAAAGACTTAAAAAAACCTTTTCATCATCTCAACTGCAGATTGTATTTTTTTCTTGAAATATATGATATTCACAAAACTGACTTCACTTTTGTTTTCTCTTACACAGACTGAAACCAAAGCGAACAAAAAGCATCATAGGATATTATCATGAAAAGTAAAACCCTTTAGAAATATTTACAAATGAAATAATCTAATATCAAATAAAAACTGGAGGAAAAACAAGCAGATTATTATATAAAAATATAATCAGTGTTTCATTTCAAATTTCTTAAAAAATACCTATAAAATGTTCCACATTAACACATGCTCCTTTGCATTCATGTACTTACGAAATCAATGATAGCTTTAAAACATTACAAATATCGATATCAAGGAGGAAAAAAGCAGGTGAATGAGGATTCCTTTAATGTGTTTTCCAATAAGAAAATGGATAAATCAATTCTGGAGAATTTTGTTATTTGCATTTTAATATTTAACTATTTAATAATAAACTGTTTCCATTTTAAGATCAGATTGTTTCAATAATATATAGTAAGAAGTGAGCAGGATAGGGACCATTTAATCTGTTAAAGAATCATCATCAATAACTGAATTAATCAATTTATCATTTCCACTCTGATCAAGTGACATTGATAAATGCTCATAGTTCTTTTAACAATTTCATATTCATTGAATTTTCAATTATATCTACTGATATACATTCATCAAATATGCTATTGTATATCAACTATAAATGATAAAAAAAATGCTGTCAAAGGATTTGAACCCAGAAAAAGATCATATCAAAGTCATACATCATTTCTTTTGATATAGTCATTTGCTGATTTATAATAAGTGAATATAATGAACATAATCTTTACCAACATGAAACAAATATAGAAATGGATAGTGAAGTAACCAGAGAAAGAATAAGATAACCAGAGAAAAAAGAGCCAAACTTCCAGAGAAGACAGAAAGAGGCTGTCAGAGTGGAAAGATGGAAGATACCAGAGAAGATAGAGAGAGATTCAGGGTGGAAACAGTGAGAATATCAGAAAGAAAAGAATAAGGCTGTCAGAGAGGAAAGATGGAAGATACCAGAGATAAAAAAAGAGTGGCTACCAGAGAGGGAAAAAAATGAGTCTGCCAGAGAGAAAGAACAAGTTTTCAGAGAGTAAAAAGTGAGGCAGCACAAAGTTTTTAAAAATAGACAGGGTAAATCGTCACCATTTTACATTTTTAATTTCACTCACACATGTTTGTTTTTGATTTTGTTGACTGTATAGTATAGTAGGGTCATTTAGACACCATCTATCAGAAAAAGAGCACCATGACACAATTTACTCCACCAGAAATTTGGAAATAATGTGCTGTACTGCTTGGCATTCATGCTAGAAGCTCCAATACAAAATTTCAGAGTGTTTGGGTATCAATCTGAGGACAGTGGAGATGATTTGGGAAGAGTTGGATGAGTCTAATGGTAATTACAAAGGTGTTTTGAGTGATCACTAGTTCTGGCAACATTATGCCTCCATTCATCTTCCTGTAGGGCCTTGAACTCAACACAGAGGCCTACATCAAGTGCCTTGAAGAGGTAGTGCTGCCTGGGTCAAGAGAGCAGCTTCTGGGAAACATTGCCCAGTGGACAGAGACGTTGGTTGATCCAGTGACTAGACCAAAAGAGTTGTGATAATACCAGGCTACAGCATTGGTGAACCAAAAAACTTGGACAGTTGAGTTAAAGGGAAATAATGGAGACATCTGGGAGAGGCATGGCATGTGGAATTAAAACAAACTACCCCTGTGGACGAAATAAAGTGTTCGGTTCGAAATTCCAATTACCTGAAGAAGGCCAGAGTGTACAATGGCTGAAACATTGTGAATATAGCAATGAAAATGAGGATAACAGTCCGAATAATGTAAATAATGTAAAAGATATTTTAAATAGAAGCAATAAAATTTAGCTAACATTTAAGTACAGTCCAGAGATATATTTTACTAACATTCAATATAAAATTGATATAAATCAATGTATCAACAATGATTAAAAATATAATTGAATATATTTTCAATTTGGTTAATTCTTTTAATAAATTATGAGAATATTCAGAACAAAAAACTATTTTATGGGCATACTGAATATTTCATTATATATATATATATATATATATATATATATATATAGAGAGAGAGAGAGAGCACGAGAGAGAGAGACATTTTTAATCATCAAAATAAAAATGCTATTGAATTTGTTCTAAATATAAACTGCCCAAGGCAAAGTTTAAGCTAAAATGTAAGTTGATATTCTGGTAAATATAAATCATTTAATATATGTGAACTAGAAGAGTACCCACAAAAATACATGATTATTTTATATATAGACTGGCATTGATTTTAGGATCAGTATATTATTTGTGCTGCTTTCTCAAATCAAGGATTAAAAATGAAGCAAATGAAGCCTATAGGTCCTAGCAAAAACCATTCATTGTAGAACCTTGTAGACTGGCACTACAGAAACACAAAGAACTGTACCAAATAATGTAAATCACATCACTTGAAGACTTTCAACAACAGCAACAATTAAAATGCATAGCAGCAAGTTATCAGGCTGGGTTCCCATATAAACAACATGAGGTGAACAAGTGAGGATTTTGTGGAGACTGGTAGAGAGGTTGACACAAACAGCCACTGAGTGTGGGACAAAGTGGTGTGAGCTGTATGTGAAACAAAAAGAGAAAACATGGTCATTGCAATAAGAACATGCCACCAGCTTATTATCCTAACCTGCAGACAGAGGCAGATGCAAAACTTGTGAGTGAACAGACCAACCCATATCATAGTAACACATTGTGTTTGTAAAATAGAGGAGAATAAGTTAAGGTTAAGGATTAAGAAGTAAAAAAAAGATTTCCTCATGAAAAACAACTACACAGGTTATTAGAAATAATCATATTTTTGAAATATGATATAGTTGTTAGGGTCAGTTGATGTTCACAAGTCCCACAAAAATGAAAGAGTCAATGTCTTTTCATTGGTCTGTGAATTGATTAATCAGCAATTAGTAAGAAGGTAAGACTTCCTAGTGAAAAAAGGAGTTTTGCCCTTCAAACATTTTTTTGTGAGAATGATTGCCTTGTAGGAATGTAAATCTGCAATGCTAAAATTGGGCAGTCTCTCTCATTGACATGTCTTTCTCTATTACTGAAAAGTATTTGGCAAAATTTTCTTATAGCAGACAATAAAAGTAGCCAATACAGATCATATGCATTGTGCTATGTAATACTATAAAAAAAATTCTCCTGGTGAAAAGATAGTTCATTTGACTTTTAAAGACAGTGTCACTCTGATTTTGGTGCATTGATCTGAAGACACCTGTGGTGGCTAACATAGTGACACAATGAACTTAGCCTAGCCTTGAACAACAACCATGGTTGCCAAACACAATTTCAAGCTACATACTTAATCATATATCATGTGACTATATGTAAAGTCAGACTTGACAACACTTGTTTTATCATTCATCATAATTACAAATAAATGATTCAAGATACAGAGCTCTGTGTGCCATTGTCAATAGAATTAGTGAAAAAGACATCAGTTTGAAACACCAATATACTCAACAACTAGAATAAGCAATATCTTATTAGGATCTTGTTAAATGTATTCTGGTCTTTCTTGTCATTATTCCTAAATCTTTGATTAATGTCAAGAATTCACCTGCTTTTGTTTTGTATGTGGCTAACTCAGGCTTGCAACATTTCAAACCTGAACAAGGCACTTCTTCAGGTCTTCTTAACATGTGGGTTGAAGAGTCTCCTATCCAGGATATTACTGAACCAATGACTGGAACACATGCATATTCCTCAACTGTTGTCTTGTATTTATCACAATCAAGATTGGAACAATCGGAGTATTACATTTGATGTCATGATCAATTTCCTGATTCTTAGGTTACAAGGAAAGAGGCATGGTGTAGGGATTTAACCACATGCCCTCTCAAATGTAATGTAGCACAAGGTCAAGTTTAATGTGAATTGGTAGACCATGTGTATGTGGACAAAAATTGTTCAAGCCCTCTTGGCACTTCCCTCTTTGGAGATCTCAGGCATCAGGTAATGTCCTGTTTCTTCCTAGAAATGTAAAACCTGAAGGGACTGCCCCCACCACTGTAACATTAAATTTCAAACCAGCAAGTATAGTGTTACATTTAGTGGCTGCAAACAGGATATCAAGGGTCAAAAAGATCTTGGCTAAATGTACTGTTACAGAATCACTTCATTCTAATGAAACTTCCTATCAAAGAAAGAGTGAAATAGTAAAACAAATAAATTAAAATAATTGGTAATTATCCAACTCAGAATCAGAAAGAGACATGAAATTTCTTGGACACATAATGAAGAAGGACTTGGAGAATTTGACACTCACAGGACATGTCAAAGACAAAAGAGAAAGTCACCTATATATCTAATGAATTTGTGTGAATGGGTAGGAGGGTTGGAGAAAAGAGAAATGTTACTAAGAGCTACAAAGGATAGCAAATTGTAGAGTCATGATCATCCACGTCCTAAATGGACATGGCAAAAGTTTAGAGTCATTTATTTACTTAAAAAAAGATTTCATTAAAGATTAGTGTTATATCAGTGCACAGTTGACAGCAAAGCAGCATTTTATGAATAACAAAGCTGAATCCCATTGAAAATTTAAAGAATTGCAGAAACTTGTAATTACTTTGATAAAGCAACAAAGGTGTGGGTTAAAATGAAGACAGAACTGAGAAGTAGACTGAATAGGAGACAAAAAAAAGATGTAAGTAAACTAATTGTTCAGTATAGTTTGTTTATTTAGACAGAGAAACTGAGCTACATACCAGGATTGGACATGTCTGAAAACATACTGTGAGGTTACCACTTAAAGCAAAGAACTTCTTAGCAGGTAATCAGGCTTGAAATATGTAAATATTGGTTTTGCTCATATGCTTATTTTCATAGCTGATAATGTCAACATTCATACTCCGACAAACCCAGAAGAGGAGAGAGAGGTGCTTGAAGGAAATGAGTCCAGGGGTGTGATTTAGGGGAGGTGGACAAAAAGAAACAAATAAAATAAAGAGACAGGAACATGAGATAATATTTTAGTAAACAGAACTATTTTTATGATGTAGTTTTTTTTCTGTAATTGGAGAAATTGAAAATAAATAAATAAAGCATTTCCGTTTGTTAAAGAATTAAAGAAATATCTTATTTTGTTTATTTTTTTTACTGCAAACCAATAAATTGGAACTTAGAAAAATGAAAGAACAAACTAAGTGTGAATATCAACACCTGAAAGATTTTATGAGGCAATTTTTCTTACTGTTAGCGAAATCTTTATACTGATTCATAAAGAAAGAAATCAAAAATATAAAGCATTTTCATTGTCTATATCAGCATTTTTCAAAGTTTTTTTTCCTGCGATCCACAGCAAGAACCAGATTTTGCATTGCAACTCATTATACCTACATGTAATAAATCAAAGACAAACTTTGTTCACTTAGTTCATTTATTTAGCATCAATAATTTATATATATATATATTTCTTAGTATCTGCATATACTGGAATTGTATGTATCTATTTGTATATTTATAAAATTATTACATTTAGAAAAACAAATTTAAAGGAAATTCTGTTACTCAGTCCACAATGATTTTGACAAACAAGATACATAAACTCAATTAGAACTGACTATGTGTGTGTGTGTGTAAATAAAATATAATACAACCTTACCTCGGTGAAAAACTAGCAATAATTTATGGGTGCTGTGTAACATTTAGAGTTGTTTATATTTTGCACTTTGCTCTCACTTGCATATTTTTTCTTTCTTTCTTTTTTGTTGTGACCCACTGAATGGTTGGGACCCACAGTTTGAAAAACCCTGGACTAGATTATTTAATATTTATTGTCATGTGATAAAAAGATGAAATTGATTAAAAGTATGAACTTGTGTGTAGTAGAGTCATTAGAGCATTTGCTTTCTGACCAAGAGACCTGGGTTTGATTATTCCCAAGGTCAATTTGTCTGCAAGGTGACTTCTTGATATTATTGGTCTGGAGAGGTGATCCCAGCATGTGGTATCTTTGTAACATGCTCAAAAACCATGCAACATGTTGACCCAAGCTTTGTGAATGAAACTGGATTGATGAATGTTTAAAAGCCATTAATGGTTGTGCTAGCAGAAAGTCAAAAGTCATCGTGACCAAACGTTTGAGCATACTGGTGTTGTTCAAACTGCAGATTTAGCCATATGATGTGCTATTTCCTAGAAACTGTAACTAAAATCTGTTCAGTATAGTTGCAGTATAAACCACAAATTAGCATTGTATGTTGTGAACAAACAAAAATGCACTTGAGCAGGCATCAGATATTGGCTAGTTACTCTAGCAGATAACTGAAATTCCTAGGGCACATATTGATAAAAGAGGTCTTTGGAAATTTGATATTCATAGGATAGATTGAAGGAAAGAGCTACCTGGGAAAGCAATGCATAAATTATGTAGCCAGTTTGAGTAAATGGATGGTGGAACATGTCTTAGGTGAGATAACAAAAATACCAAATTTATGAAGAGCTACAAAGGACAGAGAATTGAGGAAAGCCATAATCGCCAACATCCTGAAGGGTCACAGAAGAAGAAGACCAGGTAACATGGCACTAAACTTACGGTGAAATGGCAATATTCTATGACCCAGATAAAATGCCATATTGTCAAAATAAGTTTATTTGTTAGTTGATAGCTACAAAACATATTGGAATGCAGTATAAACTGTAAACTACTTACTATATTGCTCTGCTTAATTTTGGGGTACTTCAGTTTATATACACATATACTGCTTATATTTCATATTTGGTTACTATTTATATACTCAACCACCTCACTACAGTGATTTCTGACAAAGTATTATTTTGACAAATCCTGTGATTCTAAGTGACAGATGCTTCCAATTCATAAATTTTTCTCCTTGATGGAACTCTAAGTTTATTTTTGTACAAAGTTCCTGTTTCAATGATTTAGCTATTGTTGATTTCTAAGAAATTTTAAAGTTTTGTGTATATACTGGAAATATTTTCACAGACACAATCAAAAACATGGCAATTGCACCAAAGTCCAAGTTTTGTATTGAAGATTACTTATTATTTATCTTTAATCTAATAATACCAATTTAAAAAATTTTTTTGCTGTTTGAGAAATTTATAAAATACTACTGAAATATTATATCATATATGGAATAGATGTTATTTTGTATGCTATCTGCCATCAGAATGTTGTCAGTTAAGCCTCTCCTCTACAACTATATACCCTTTGTCACTCCAAGCAATGTTTTTCCCATTTGCAGTATCTCTCCCTCCTTGTTCTGCCATCCATTTACACAAGGTCATTAAGTAGATGATTTGCCGTTTAACTTTGCTCCTCTTGCCTTCAATATGTCCCATGTGTGTCAAATTGCCAAGCTCTTGCAGTAGTACACTATGATTAATAAATGAAATAAAAATATTTCTTTAATCCCCTTAAAAGTATTGCCTACTTTCATCTCCTTAATACCTCATTATCATTAACATCTGCATTCTTAAGCATAGGTCAATCAGCTAACTTCATTTCTGAAATCAGATACTTGCATTACAAAATATCACAGACCCTGTACCAAAGTGAAGCATGGTCCTACACAGTCACTGCATTCCCTAGACATTTACAGGTCTCAATATAAATCCAAGAAAAGAGGGTGTCAACTTCAGTCCTCTCTCTTCTTTCACTAGAAAGTGAGAGAGGGTAGTTCACTTCTTTAACCACCATATAACTGGTCAGGACAACTGCCTGCCACAAAGAAGAAGGAGTCTTTCTCTTTATCTCTCTTCCAATGTATCACAAGTTGTCTCACAAAAAGGATATAAGTTTGTATTTGTATACAAAAGTAAGTAAACCTTCAGAAACAACATTTATTCATTTTGAATATAAAAAAAAACAACATTCTGCATCAACCTCCGCATGCTCTTTCCTCATTATGTATAAGAGAAATTTCAATTTCCGTAATTCCTTGTTGCTTGTATGTTCCATCCATGGTATTATCAGCATTCTTCTGTAGAAGTACATCACTGATACCTCAATTCTCCTCTTCATCTATGAGAAAATTATCCAGCATCCACTGCCATATAGAAGCACTGATATAGCACTCTTTTCTTCGTTTCCTGTTATACTGAAATTTTAGTTTAAAATCTTTGAGTTTAAATATACCTTTTTGGATCTTATTAAAAAATAATTAGCTTTCAGCTCATAGTGAATAAAAATAAGCTGTGTTTTTAATTTGTTTACTTATTGTTCAAAGTAAATTTGACACAAAGCCATATTTAATGAGTACCTAGAAAAAAATAAACTTACTATTAATAACTTGCATCACTAAATTGCTGATTCATTTTTTTTAAGCACGGTTAAGATCAATGTTCTTACCAGGAAATTAAACGAAAGAAAATTATGAATAATGATAAAAACAGCATTTTGTACACATTAACATTTACATGAGTCACAATTCTTAATAGTTATATAATAATAATAATATCCAGAAGATGTAGTTTAGTTAGTTTTAAGTGAGTACTTGTACGTGGAAAAAAAAAAATTGAAAGTTATTTTTCTTGGTGAGAATATAGATTGTAGGAGTAAATTCAGTTCACTGATCTGTGCTAAAACTGACAATGGATACAGTTGGCTATTTCATTTCCAATGAATGGGCAGTTAAGGTGATTTTGAGAATGAATTATTCAGATATTCAGTCCTCTGTGAATACCATTATAGCAAACCAATGATAAGACCATTATTGATAACAGGAAAGATTGGAAAGTTTCATTCATGTCAATTTTTGCCTGAATGTTAATGTCTTTTTAAAAAAGTATTAGTGCATAAGTGATATAAACTTTTTCAATTGAATTTTGGACATAATTTGCCAGTATCTGATTTCTAAGTGGCTAATTATTATACAACCATGTGCCTCTAGGTTGGAGGAATACAGAGTTAGAAAGAACACTTGAATGGTTTCATATAATTTTATTATTACTAAGGTTTTAAAACTAAATTTAAAGAGACAATAAAGATAGAGGGTTACTGAATAAGGTCATTGTATAGATGTAAGTGGAGGAACTATGTATAGATTATGAAGATATCTAAGATAAACAACAGTTAACCCTGGACATGAAGAATTTAATATTGTAGTGATCGAGGAAACATCTTCACAGGAGACTGTTCCTAAAAATAATGGTTCATAGGAATAAGCTGTTTGTGTAGAACTTCCTTCTTACCAGTGGAATACAAAGGAAATGATAATAATTTGATTTTGTGTAAATGGTATGACAGGTCCTAGCTGTGAAGATCTGAACTGCAATGTAACTTATCTGAACATCTGTCATGGAAATAGCAATAGAATAGTGATAGGCAAGTGAGGTTACATTTGAGAGAAAGAGGTTGTGGGGTTGAAGTTGAACCTATAGAAATTCCACAAGTGTTGACAACTGAGATTATCCATTATCTCATATCGCTACTCTTCTCATTCTCTCTCCTACACATTCCAATCTTCACTGCTCGGCCAAATTTTTATTGAAATATTTTAGAAAAATGAATAAGGAATGCAGAAATCTTTTTCTACTGCATACTCTCTTTTATCTTTCTTTGTCCTCTTTTTCCATAAAGAACTTTAATATATCAATTTTTAAGCCTTTTCATCCCTACCTTTCATTCACTGTCTTTTGATATCATACTAGCAAGCCTGTCTGTCTTTCTTTCATCTCCATTTCTTCTACCCCTATCTTATTTTCTTTATTCTCCATCTTTCTTGTCTCCTACCTTTTATGCTTCCTCCTTTTTTCTAATCCCTCCACTTTCTGTAGTTCCTTCCTACTTAATATTTTTATGTAGATTTCTTGATCAGGAAGTCAAACTGATTCCACATCAGAAATTGGGCAGCTACTACACACTGAGCCTAGATAGAAGTTTAATGGGTATTGTATATATTCCAACTCTAGCAAGGATGATATTTTGCAAACTAATAATGATAATAATAAGTATCTTGTAAGGTTAAAATCTTTACAGAAATAATAGTAACCAT